ACATGGGCTGGAAGGCTTCGGCTACCGCAGCCAGAGATACAGGGCAGGGAGGCACCACAGGTGGTCTCCTTCAGATGGTTCAGCAGCGACACGGACTTTCGCTGCTGATTGGTCAAGCTCCAGTTCTTGAGCCAGCGCGCATTGCAGTCAGGCACATGTCAGGAGTCGTGCCTGGAGGCATCCTATGGGCAGTAGTGTACATGCACGACTCGCAGGGTTTGTCAGCGCTAAATTGGGATCTTTTGTGCAAGCTGGGCGCGGTCATCAGGCAGTTCGGCATGCCGTTTATTCTTTCAGGAGATTGGAATTTGAGCCCCGACGAGCTGGTCGGCTCTGGATGGGTTGAGGCCGTCTCTGGACACATTCTTTCCCCTCAGTTAGCCACGTGTACGGGTGGAAAAGGCAGGGTGCTGGACTACTTCATTGTCTCGGAGGGTCTGCAGTATCGTCACAAGCTCGCCGTGCTCACCGACGTTGGCACCACGCCGCATTATCCAGTTCTTTTGTCTCTCGAGGGACTGCGACAAGTCCCCGCGCTGCCACAGATTCGCGTGCCTCGTATGTTCCCTCGCCAACGGCCTCAAGGACCCATGCGAGAAAGCACCCGCTGGCAGTCAGTTACGGAGCTGGCGCTTGCACAGGTGAGCACTCAAGAGTTGTGGGAGAGCTTTGTGCATACCATGGAGCTCGAGTTCGTTGACATCTACCAGATCAGCAGTGACGAGGCGCACCTGTACCAGGGTCGGGCCAAGCCTTTACAGCGCAAGCGTGCTGCCGCGCGCAAGCCGTCAGTCATGCCCGATCCGCGTCTCTCGCCTTTCGCCGCGTGGTGGAGGCTTGTGACGCAAGTCTTTACCGAGCTCGGCAAGTTTCAGTCCGCGTCGTATCGTCGTACCACTTTGTCGCTGTGTGAGAAGCTGACCGAGCAAGGGTGCAAGTTCACCGATGCCAGTGCGCAGCCTTGAGTCACTCTGCTCTGGACCGCCCCCTCGCTTTCCTGGGAGCTTTCGGCGATGCTCGCCAACCTTGCCAGACAGCTCTCATCCAAGCATCAGCGCGCGGCTGAGCAGCATAGGGACGCCAGCTGGAAGAGTTGGGTCAAGTCTCACAGCAGTGCAGGCGGAGGAGCCCTTTTCAATCTCTCGAAGCCTCCCACCCCATGGCACAGCAGTCCCAGTTTTAGACATGACGGCTCGCTGCCGCCAGCCCCAGCCAGTCAGGAAGAGGAGATGGCGCTTTTGGTTTCTGAGTGGGGGGCGTATTGGGAGGTGGGGTCCCTGGCCGATCCGCTTTCGTGGCCGTCAGATATGGGCCCTGAGCTGCCAGATTTCGACTTGGACGATCTCAAAGCGTGTCTCCGCAGCTTTCGAGCCAGCAGCGGCGCTGGTTACGATCAGATTTCGCCCCGTCAGTTGCTCGAGTTGCCAGACGAGGGCCTTGAGTGTTTTCGCCAGCTAATATTCACCATCGAGAGTAGCTTCGAGTGGCCACAGTTGTGGTCAAAGGTAGTCTTCATATTGAAGCGCACAGGCGGATTGAGACCCATAGCTTTAACGCACGTCACGTCTAGGGTCCAAGGACGACTTCGCCGCCCCCTCAGTCGGCATTGGCAGCAGCAGAACGTTCGGGAGTTCTGGTGGTCGACTCGGGGGAGGGGGTCGGATCGGCTTGTGCGGGTTCAAGCAGCCTTCGCCGAGTGGGCCCAGGGACGCGGCCTTTTCGCTGGCACGGTCCTGTTAGACCTTCACAAAGCGTTTGAAAACGTGCGGCACGGAGAGCTGCTCAAGGCGGCTCAGGCTACGGATTTTCCCCTTCGACAGCTGCGTTTGTTGGTGAGCCTGTATCGGGCTCCGCGGGTCCTGGACCATGCTGGGGCCACCTCGGCCCCCATCTGCACCGAGCAAGCGGTGCTTCCAGGCTGTCATTTTGCCACCCTCATGCTGCAGCTGGTGCTGCTCGCCCCGCTTGACACGGTGCAAGCAGCCTTCCCTCTTCGCACAGCTCGAGAGGTTCAGATTGGAGCGGTGGTGGATGACTCGGGGTTGCACAAGGTCGGATCCTCAGAGCAAGTGCGAGACACTCTGGTGCAAGCCACACGTTTGCTTCATCAAGAGTTGAGTGCCGTTCATCTTCCTGTCAGCAAACATAAGTCTCGTGTGCTCGCCTCCTGTCCTCAGCTTCGTTCGCAGTTAGCCCTTGCGCTCAAAGCCAAGTGTGTGCTTGGTGTGCAGAGTGAGCGCAATCTTGGAATCGATTATGCTGCAGGAGGCGTGATCAAGAGGCACGCCAAGTCACGGCGTTTCACTGCCGCGAAGGTGCGTCACAAAAAGATCCTCAATCGGTCGAGCAAGCTGTGTAAAAGGCGAGCGCATCATATGGTTCGTGCCGCCGTTCAGGCCTCCACCTCTTACGGGTCGGGGGTGATGGGCAGCAACGGACGTGAGCTCGCGCAGGCTCGTCTTCATCAGGCGACCGTGCAGTCGCAGAGGGTGCCAGGACGCTCGATCACCCTCATGCTGCAGCTGACTGGCATTCCTCGCATCGATCCTGCGTACCACCTCAACGTCTCTCCTCTCCTCTCTATCGCCACCTCGCTCTGGGACGGGTGGGTCCCTAGTGGGGTGGTGGAGCAAGGCCTCGAAGGTGCGAGGCAGGGACTTCAAGAGCACGGCTCTCCGTGGCAGGCCATTCGAGGTCCCTTTTCCGCCGCCGTCGCCACGGCAATGCGACTCGGCATCAAGATGAACGGGCTCGAGTGGCAGCACCCTAGCGTGGGCGTTTTCTCGGTTGCGGCTTTGTGTCCCCGCACGGTCAAAACTGCCCTCGAGACCGTCGTCGAGAGCTGGCTTTGGAGCAAGGTGGCCGACCACCTTCAGATGCCCGGGTTTGTGCAAGGCCCCTTTTTGGCTCCCATCAAAGCTGGTATGTCCAAGCTTAAAGCGCACGAAAAAGGCTACGTAGTCAGTGTAGTTTCTGGCGGCCAGTGGCCGCAAGCCAGACAATATCAGCTTGGTCTGTCGTCTCAGCAAGAGTGTCAGGTCTGCGCCTCAGCCCCAGGGACCCTCTTGCACAGGCACGTCGGATGCGCTGCGCATCAGGACTTGCTTGAGCTAGAGCAGGAGCCTCCAGCGTGCACGCAGGCCATGGTAGCAGCAGCAGGTAATCCTCTCGTTCGTCTCCTCCTCGAGAGGCTGCTTGTGCCGCTGCCTGCCCCTCCTCCGCCCCGACCCAACCCCCCCGAAGAACTTTGGCTCTTCGGAACTCCCGATCAGCTCGGAGGAGATTGTTTTCTCGACGGGAGTCTCTTTGATTCCGAGCTCCCGCCCACCGCGCGCTCGCTAGGTTGGGCCATCGTTTCCTTGCACGATGATCCGAGCCTCCCCATATCTCGAGCGAAGCGCGCGGTGGTGGCTGGTGGTATCCCAGCTGGGCATTTTGACATCGATGCGTGTGAGCTTTGGGCGTTGCTCATGGGCCTTAGGCAGGCCCTTCCTGATGCCGTCTTTTGGACCGATTCCAATTTTGTTTTCCAGGGCGTCTGGAATCGAGGACGGCAGTTTTGTTGCTCGTCCAAAGCTGCGTGGGCCGACATCTGGAAGCTTGTCTGGCATGCCGTCGACGACAGAGGTGGTCTCGACGCGCTGCGCCTTAACAAAGTTAAGGCGCACGCCTCTCGTGCCGACGTCACCTCAGGTCGTCTCTCGGCCAGGGCTCAGGTGGGCAACGAGCTGGCTGACCAGTATGCCAAGCAGGCCGCTGAGTACGGCAGAGTCGCTCAGCAATATCGTGACCTGTTCAAAAGTCAGTTTAAGGTTGTGCAGGCCCTGACCCGATGGGTTGGCGTGTGTGGGCCCCCCATGGCTGATTTGGACTGTCTGCATGTTCCCGTGTCCAAGCGTGCCAGGGTCCTCAGGACTGATGTGCCCAGGTTGCATGTAATTCCTCCTCCTCCCGTGGTCTCGTCGGTTGAAAGTCGTGCCGATGTTGCGATCGCGGTCCTGAGGAGAGAGGGTCACGCCACCCATCGAGCCTTTCCCTTCACTCTCGCGGGGGGGAGGCGGGGGGTGGTGTGCGCCCTGTGCGGTGCTGGCGGAGTCACCGTGTCCAAGCAGTTTCGTGATCCATGCCCGCCAGTGCCCTCTGTCTGGGGCAGCCGCGTTTTGCGAGGCCTTGAGCAGGGCAAGTACAAGCAAGGAAAGGAGTGGATCCTCCTCACCGAGGCTTGGAACCCTGCCAGTCTGGAGAGAAGCGGTCAGGGCCCAGACCCAGGCCGCCCTCCCCCTCGGGGAGAGCACCCTGTCGCTGGCCCCTCGGCTGGATGGCGCCCCCAGTCGAGGGTGACAAAACGGTCGTCCTGATGGGTGCTCTCCCGAGGTTTTTGTTATACGGAGGCCTTGCTCCGTCGGGGCTCGTGGGGATCTCATGAGCGCCTACTGCGTGCGCAGGAGGAGGAAGGGGGGAGGAGGAGGAGGAGGAGGAGGAGGAGGAGGAGGAGGAGGAGGAGGAGGAGGAGGAGGAGGAGAGGAGGAGGAGGAGCAGGAGGAGGAGGAGAAGGAGGAGGAGGAGGGGGGGGGGTAATGATGATGATGATGAGGAGGAAGAGGAGGAGGAGGAGGAGGAGGGGAGGAGAAGAAGAAGGGTGGAGGGGGGGAGGAGGAGAGAGGGAGGAGGGGGGAGGGGGAAGGAGGAGAGAAGAGGAGGGGGGAGGTCCTCCTCCTCCTCTTCCTCCCTCCCTACCCCCTTTCCACTCCCCCCCTTCACCTCCCATGTCTGCGAGGTTTGAGACGGTACTTTTTCGAAATAAGAGTTTCTGGCAACGCGTCGCTCCTTTCCAACCTCACGGCGTGAAGCACTGACACCACCATCGGCAAGCCCGAATCGTTCCCCCTCCTCCTCCGCCTTCCTCCTCCTCCTCCTCCTCCTCCTCCTCCTCCTCCTCCTCCTCCTACTACCGAAGGCTCGCCGCCGCCCCCGCGTCCGCCCGGAAGGGGGCGGCCGGCCTGGAGGCAGCCGCCCGCCGCGGGCTGCGCCGTGAGCAGGTCTCCGACGTCCAAGGATCGGGTGCTGCTAGAAGTGTCCCTGGCCCAAGGTGCCCCCAGGATCTCCAGGGAGGCCCCCACGGCCTCCAGAGCACCCCTCACAGGGCCCAGAGGTCCCTAGGGGCCCAAACATTGAGCGAAAAGCGGGGAGCACCTTGGGCCAGGGACACCTTTGAGCAACCCACGACAAGGACATCACGGCGGAGCCATCGTCCAGGTCCACGACGTCGTCGCCGTCCCGGCACACCACGTGGCCCTGCAGGGGGATAGCACAAAACGATGCGCAGCATCGACCTCAGGGGAGGAGGAGGGCGAGGAGAAGGCGGAGGCGGAGGAGGAGGAGGAGGAGGAGGAGGAAGAGGAGGAGGAGGAGGAGGAGGAGGAGGAGGAGGAGGAGGAGGAGGAGAGAGAACATGAGAGGAGAGGAGGAGGAGAAGGAGGAGGAGGAGGAGGAGGACGACGAGGAGGAGGAGGAGGAGAGGGCGAGGACGAGGAGGAGAGGAGCAGGAGGAGGAGGAGGAGGAGGAGGAGGAGGAGGAGGAGGGGGGGGAGGAGGAGGAGGAGGAGGAGGAGGAGGAGGAGGAGGAGGAGGAGGAGGAGGAGGAAGAGGAGGAGGAGGAGGAGGAGGAGGGGAGGAGGAGGAGGAGGAGGGAGGCGGCTGGCTGCCTGCAGGCGGCTCCTTGGAGCGGCTCGGGGCAGCGATCCTTTGCAAGAGAGGGCAAGAGGTGGAGGAGGAGGAGGAGGAGGAGGAGGAGGAGGAAGAGTGGTGGCATCGTCAATGCGATCCTCATGCCATCGGGTAAGCAGGTAATTCGGAGGAGGAGGAGGAGGAGGAGGAGGTGGAGGAGGAGGAGGAGGAAGAGGAGAAGGAGGAGGAGTAGGGAGATGTGGCGGAACGAGGGAGGCAGTAGGAGGAGGAGGAGGAAGAGGAGGAGGAAGAGGAGGAATAGGGAGATGTGGCGGAAGGAGGGAGGAGGGAGGCAGGAGGAGGAGGAGGAGGAGGAGGAGGAGGAGGAGGAGGAGGAGCGAGAAGGGCTGACAAGCTGGATGTAGGCCTGGGCGGTTTTACCTGTCTTGTCTCCTCATCCTCTCCGAAGCGCTGGTATGCACAGTTGTTTGTTGTTTTTTTTTCTGGCCCCCAGGGCTGCATGACGCTGGCACGCGCAGTGTTTTAGCAGCAATGTAATTGTTTGTTCCATTGTGATTTTGGCGAATGCCTGGCGGTCATCGTTCAAACGCAGTTGAATAAGTGCACGCCGGCGTTTTTTGGAAGCTTTAGTACTACACTTGTTCGAACTGAGACGCGAAGGAGGAGAGACAGGCAAGAGAACGCCATAGTAAGGCGCCCTCAGTGAGGATACCTTTTCGCAAGGAATCCTTCAACAAGGATTCCAGGAGTAAGGATGATGGTTCCTTGTCGAACCCTTTGAAAGCCGATGGCGGAAGAGATATGGGCACAGGACATGCTACAAACGCGGGTGGCGGGCATGCCCCCGGAGCCAGGACGGGCTCTTGAAACTCATTTTGGATGCTTTGGTGGAAGTGCTCTGACCCCATAGCCTTCGCATCCCAACCATCCCGATGTCCGACGCCGCGCGACCTGAAGCAGTGCTCCAGGGCCGCATTGCGAACAGAGGGCCTGGCGATGAAGCCTGCGAGATGCCCGGTCGCGAACTCTCGCCCGTGGGAGCCATCCCGATGTCCGACGCCGCGCGAGCTGAATCGGTGCTTTGGGCCAGATTGCGAACAGAGGGCTTGGTGGCGAAGCCTGCGAGCGGCCTGGTGGAGACCTCTCGCCCTTGGGAGCCACGGCCCGGAATTCGCAGGCGAAGAACGGCATAAGATAATTTTTGTCCGCCGTCGGGGACGCCTGCCCCCCCGGCAGCTGGAAAGTTTGTGCCCCTGCAGTCAGCCCGCATAGCAAGAATGGGTAACCTTCCCAAGCGTACCCCTGCATCCTTCCCTCCTCGGTCAATCCTTGGCCATTCTCGCTGGCCGCGCCCCGCTAGAAAAGCTTCGAAACGGCCTCCCAAGGCCCTTGCCTCCTGCGTACTGATGATACGGGTTGACTGTACGTGGCGCCGCAGGTGAGGTCAACTTTGTAGCCTCCCCGGGGGCAGGCGTCCCCAACGGCGGAAAAACTTGCTTCATGCCGTTCTTCGCCCGCTAATGGAACCGCGCGCTGCAGCGCGAGGCATCGCTCTTATCGTTGTGATCGCTGCTCTCTTTGTGATCGTTGTGCTCGCTGTAATCCTAGGGGCGCGAATAACTTCGCGCCCTCGTGGGAGCCCTTGTGCCCTTGTGCTCGTGGGAGCCATTGTGCTGATTGTGATCGCTCTCATCGTTGTGAGCTGTCCTCGCGCGCGCGCGCGGCGGGGGCTGCGCGGGCCCTCCGCGGCCCCAGCCGGCCATTCTCGGTTCGCAGTGGGTGCCCTGGCCCATTGCTGGGCACCTCGCATTCCTCGGCCTCCTCGCCCTCCTCGTCCTCGTCGTCCTCCTCGCCCTCCTCGCCCTCCTCGTCGCCCTCCTCGCTTGGCCACGCCCGCCCCCTACAGCCAACCCGTCTCATAAGGACGCACGATAAGCATGCAAGGGCCTCAGACGGCCACTTCGAGGCTCTTCGAGCGGGGTGCGGCCAACGAAAGTGGCCAAGGACGGACCGAGGAGGCAAGGGTGCCAGGGTACCCTTGGGAATGTTGCCCATCCTGACTGTGAGGGTTGACTGCATGCGTCCTGGAGCCACGCCACGCGCTGCAGCGCGAGTGTCCTCGCGCGCGGGTGAGTTCCCTGGGACCCCTCGCTTGGCCAAGCCCGCCACAAGCATCCCGCCGCTCCGAGATCTTTTTCGATGCGTGGGCCCCGGAGGTCTGGACCACTCCCCGAGGGCCGGCTTGCGGTCCTGCGTCGTTTTCTGACGGCCCCGAGGCCTGGCGAGGGGCCCGGGAGGCCGAAAAAGCGCCCGAGAATCGCCGCTCGCATTCTCCCCCTTTGGGAGCGTCGGACCTCTGGGGCACAGGGGGGGCGGGCGTGACCGCGCGGACGCCCGCTCCCGAGGCGGGCGGGCCCACGGCCCTCCCAGGGGGCCACGTGTGAATCCCCCCCCGAGTTTAGGGGGGGAGATGGGGGCACCCCGCCCGCCCAGGGGAGGCCACATGCGAGTCCTGCCCCCCCCCCCGCCCCCTCTCCCCCACCCCCCACGAGTTCTACAAGGGGGGGGCACTCCGTTCGGGAGCTCCCGAGCGGAGTCGAAGAAAACCCCCCCCTACGAGTTCTACAGGGGGGGGGGCACTCCGCTCGGAGCGCGCCAGGGACGGCGCCGGAGGCGTCGCCTGGGGGGCCCAGCGCGGATCCAAGAAATACGCGCGGAGCGCCACCAGTTTATGTTTATGGCGCTTTTTCTTCTTCGAGGAGGGGCCCCCCCCGTAGAAATCGTGGGGGTGGGGGCAAGGCTTCTGTCGGGCATGTCCTCCTACAGGCAGAATTTTGGAGGATAAATCAAACATAGCCCAACCATGCTCAAGCATATTCAAAACTAGTAGAAGAATCGTCCCCATATTGTTTGTCGACTGCTTTTGAATGTTCCTCCTGCAGAGGGACATGCCCGACTCAAGGCACGGCTCACATGCGGCCACCGACCGCCCGCAGAAGCCAGGGGCGCGCAAACATGAATTAGCGATCCATGGATTTGGCGCGCGGTCACCAAATCCACGTCCAGAGGTGACGTGCTGAGCGGCAGCGTTTTTCGGCGAACGCCTTACTGCAACGTGTCCAATCTATCCAATGATTGCATACTTGCCACATGTTGTATTGTGTTACATTATTATGTCTCCCCCCTAACCCCCCCTGGGAGCTGCGCCACACCGCCGGACCAAAGTGGCCCCCCCCCTCCCGGGGCTCAGAAACCTACCAAAACTTATAGAAAATCTATGACTTCGACCTCTTGGGCCTCTTGGGGGGCCGAGAGGGCGCCAAGACGGTTCAAGATGGGCTCTGTGCGGGCCAAAACGGCCCCGAGACGGTCCGAGATGGCCCCAAGAGGGCCCAAAAAACCCAAATGACGGCCCAAGAGGGCCCCAAGAGCGCCCACAACTGCGCCTCCAGAGGCCAAAATCATTGATTTTCCGATGGTTTGGGCACTATTTTAGCGTTCTCGCCATGGCGGCCCAATCAGCTTCGCAAATCGCTCCAGCACAACTCAAGAAGCTCCCAAGAGGGCCCCGAGACGGCCCAACAGAACCCCAAGACGGCCCAAGGAGGCCTCCAAGACGGTCCAAGAGGCCCCAATGACGGCCCAAGAGGACCCCAAGACGGCCCCAAGGCGGCCGCGAGAGGCCCCCAAGACGGCCTCCGAAGGGGCGAAACGGCGCAAAAGCGCCCCAATACGGCCAAAGACGCCTCCAAGAGGCCCCAAGAGGCCCCCAAGAGGCCCCCAAGGAGCCCCAAAAAGCCCCCAAGAGGCCTCCAAGAGGTCTTCAAGAAGCCTCCCAAAGGCTCCAAAGAAGCCCCCCAAAGGCCATACAGCGACTGGAGTGCAACGCCATTTTTCCAACCTGGGCGAACTGCGGCGCAGCGCCAGCCAGGTGGAAGTTGGTCGCAGCGGCGCCCATGTTTAGAGCCGGCGCTGGAAGGAAATATGGGGAGGGAGTATGAAAAGGAGGGAGGGGGCAGAGGCCCCAAAGAACTCCCCGAGAAGCCCAAGGAAACTCCCAGGAGGCCTCCAGGAGGCCCCCGAGAGGCTCCCAAGAGGCTCCGCGACGACGTGACTGTACGTGCTCCGGACGTGCACCCCGCGAAGCGAGAGGAGTCCATGGATCGGGGGAAGCACCCTCTCCAAAATGCGGCCGGCGCCGCCCCGTTCGGCGGCGGAAATCCGCGATTCCCCATGGACACGGGACCCATCGCTAATCCACGCCCCCTTGATCCATGTTTGCCATCGCCCGACTCAAGGCACGGCTCACACGTAGCCACCGACCGCCCGCAGAAGGCGGCGGGCGTGGAGCGCGGGCTTCCTGAGGTAGGCGTGCACCGCGGATGAATCAGGCGCACCCGCTGGCTGGTCTCCGCTCCCGTTGCCGTGGCTCGGACGCCCATTGCCGCCCATTGCCTCCGCCGCCTATCCCTCCCCCTCCTCCTCCGCCTCCTCCTCCTCCTCCTCCTCCTCCTCCTCCTCCTCCTCCTCCTGCTCCCTCCTCAAGCCGCTTGGGCTCGAGCAAGTGGGTCAGAGGCCTGGGGGCCTGCTGCACACTCACTTCCGCCCGAGTCCTTCCCTGTACCTCAGAATGGTGCTTGAGTGTGACCACTTGCATCTTTGACACCTTTGCAAGTGTTCGCGAAAGCAGGGATGTCTCCGCAGCGTGCCAAGGCATGGACACGCTGCGGCAACTGCCAGCAATGCGAGTACAATGACAAGCTTCGTTCCAACGGCATGATGTGCCCAGGATGCAATCACCAGGTTAAGAAGCTGTTCAAACCCCGCGGCCCTCGTCATGTGCACTTCGAGGACGAGTCCGACTGGGAGAGCAGCAGCGTAGGTAGCAACCGCTCGCGCGACAAGGGGCGCAAGGGCAAGGACCTGGCGATCACGCAGCTGGACGAGTTGTTGGAGAAGGCCCTGCGCACGGCGCAGGACGAGGAGATGAGGACGGCGCTCGCCGCCCAGCGGAGCCGCCTCGCCACGCTCCCCGCCGCGTCTCGTGAGACGGCGGCCGAGTCGGTCAAGCGGGCTGACGGGGCGTGGCGGGCGGCCAGCCATCGGCACGAGCAGCTGGTGGCGCAGGTGCTGAGACTCCGCTCCCAGCTCCAGGCCGCCGAGGCCAAGGAGCAGAGCGCGGCCCAGGAGCTGGTCCTCGCAGAGCGGGCCAAGAAGGGCGCCGCCGCAGCCCTGGCCAAGGCGGAGGGCATCCGCGGCTCGGAGGGGCCAGCGACCTGCGCCGACGGCTCGATGCCGACCATCAGCATTCAGATGAACCCCGAGGTCTTTGACAAGTTCGAGGACTGGGAGTGCGAGGAGAGCGACAAACAGGCGCTGCGCCAGCTCAAGTCAGAGCTGGAGACGTGGAAGCAGAGCTTCGAGTCCAAGGGCGCGGAGCTCAAGCAGTTCCTTGAGAAGGTTGCCAAGGCCGAGCAGGAGGTCCTTGGCAGGATGCAGAAGAAGCGCAAGACCACCGAGGGCGCCACAGCTGGAGTCCCAGGTGAAGGCGCTGGCGGTGGAGCCTCTAGTGGCAGCTCGTCGCCAGCGCCAGCGCCGACGGAGACAGCGCAGCCCACGGCGCAGGTCTCGGAGAGCGAGCTCAAGGCCGAGGCCGACAGGCTGTCGCAGGAGCGGTTCAAGTCGGCGTCGGCGGCCAAGGCGCTGGGCAAGGGCAACGCAGCCGTGCCGAAGGCCGCGGCCAAGCCAGGAGGCACGCCTGGTTCTTGACTAGGATCTGCAAGTGCTGACGCTGTTGCGGCGAATCAGCAGCATGAGGGAGCCAGTGTTTCTACTGGAACAACTACCACTACAATGATGTTTTTTCTCGAACGTCACATGCATGGGCGACAAGGCCTGGAACTTCATCGAGGCAATGTCGTCCATTCATGATCTTCTAGCCGTGTGCGAGACACACATTGGGAAGCAAGCTGTGAGCAAGTGGTCTGCCCGTGCTCGTCAGGCATCGTTGAAGCTGTTCGCGAACCCCGCCAGGCCGAAGTCCAAGTGGATCAAGCCCGACGAGCAGATGGACAGTCACAGCAATGAAGGGGGCGAGTGGCTACTCACTCGCATTCATCGACCTGTTCAATTACTGGCTGAAGCGCGTGCTGCAAGTGGGCTACGCGCTGAGCGTGGCAACATGTACGACGGGTTCGTGCCGTGCGTCACTCACATGAGAGGTTTTTCTCTGGCCATATTTTGCTTATACGGGCACTCAGGCATAGGATTTCGTGATGCCAACGTTGGCCGACTCAGGAAGCTAGGTTGTCTGCTGCGGTCTTTACAGATTCCATGGATCGTAGCTGCAGACTGGAACCTGCCACCAGAGAGCGTAGTTCGGTCAGGATGGTTGGAGCGTGTTGGAGGCCAGATTGTACGCTCCGATGCACAGTTCACTTGCACGCCAGCAGCTGGGAAAGCACCCAGTCATGTGGATTATTTGATAGTGAGTCACGCGGCACGTGTATATGTTCGTCACGTTCTGCCCGTCGTCGCCGTGCCATGGAAACCACATATCGGTCTCAGTATAGAGTTAGTGTCCCAAGGCGCCCAGTTGTACACTAGGTACCTCGATCTCCCTGCTCGCCTTCCTCAGGTCTCTGTCAGGCAACGCCCAGATCCAAATCCAGTTTGGCCAAGACCAAGAGGGCGTTTTCAAGGTTGGAGGCGAAGCAGGAACGTGATGCGCGTTTAAAAGATTGGTTTTCCTCGGGGCTTGGTCTCGAAGAGGGGGCGGAAGATAATCGCGGCTCGGGTCTTGGTCTCGTTCCCTCCCTGCCTCCCCAACCCTCGGCCCACAACTGCGTGGACACCCACTGCGAGGACGGTGGTGAACCCGTTTGCTCAGGCGACGAGTGGGAGGGCTGCTCGGAGGACGACCCCTGGGCGGACGAGACCGTTTTCAGACCCGCGGCCGCCCCGCCTCTCTCGTGCCCCGAGGCTGCTCTTACAGTCGGACAGTCAGAGGATGTCAATGCAGTCCCGCGCGAGCCGTCGGATTTCCCCCACCAAGCCGCCCAGGGGTCATCTTCCGAGGGGCAGTCCGACGCGCTAAAGTGGCAGCCCGGCTTTCTCAT